ACTTCATGGTGACAACACTGCCTTAGTCCCTGCTGGTGGCAGGCCACAACCTGTTACTCAAAAGAAAAACAGTTACCTGCAGCAGAGGGCATACATTTCCTCTAAAATACCAGAGGGCTGTGCTGTCTCCTATTGGTGCTTGCCAGAAGCTTCCAACAGCATCTTATTGACCATGGACACTTTGAGTGTCATTGCGTCTGCTGGATAAGGTGGATCAAGTGCTTGAGAAGCTTGTACTACAACCTGAACTTGCTCCAATCCATTGAAATTACAAGCCTTACAGGTGACTGTATGGAGCATTAAAATATATTCAAATGTTGTATATGTCACCACCAAAATTCAAAAGGTTTATGGAGCGTTGTGCCTCTTTTCTGGTGGTAGGTGGTGTGAAGTACAGTAACTTGGAGTGACATCTTGGAGGGGGATATCTTTATATGATCCAGACAACTGAACCCACAGAAACTGACTCCTGAATCTCCCACCCTCTACTTTATATATTTCTTTATTTAATTTTTTTTTTGAGAGAAGAGTCTCACTCTGTTGCCCAGGTGAGTGCCATGGCGTCAGCCTAGTTCATGGCAACCTCAAACTCCTGGGCTCAAGTGATCCTCCTGCCTCAGCCTCCTGAATAGCTGGGACTACAGGCATGCGCCACCACACCTGACTAATTTTTCTGTCTTTAGTAGAGATGGGGTTTCACTCTTGCTCAAGCTGGTCTTGAACTCCTGACCTCAAGTGATCCTTCTGCCTCAGTCTCCCAGAGTGCTAGGATTACAGGCGTGAGCCACTGCACTCAGCCTTAATTTTTTTATTGCTACATAATAGATTTATATTTTTTAGGGTACATGTGATAATTTGATAGATTCATATAATCAAATCAGCATAATTATAATATCCATCATCTTAAATATTTATCTTTATGCCAGCAACATTTGAAATATTCTCTTCTACCTGTTTTGAAATGTACAATAAGTTAATGTTAAGTGTAGTCACCCTACTTGATCTGTTGAACACCAGTTCTTATTTATTCTGCCAAACTGTATTTGTAACCGTTAATAAAGCTCTCTTCATCCCTGTCTATCTTCATGAGATGCACTTTTTTAACTCCCACATATGAGTGAAAACGTGATATTTGTCTTTCTGTGCTTGGCTTATTTCACTTAACATAATGATCTCCGGTTCCATCCATGTTGCTGCATGTGACAAGATTTGCTCAGGATTGCTTTGGTCTTTAGTGGTTACATACAAATTTTAGGATTGTGTTTTCTAAAAAATGCTAATGGTATTTTGATAGAGATTTCATTGAATCTGTAGATTGCTTTGGGTAGTATTGTCATTTTCACAATATTCTTCCATTCCAGGAGTGCAAAGTAGCTTTCCACATTTTTGTGTCCTCTTCAATTTCTTTCTTTACTATTTTATAGTTTTCCTTGTATAGATCTTTCACAGCCATGGTTAAATTGATTCCTAGGTACTTTATGTTTGTTGTAGCTGTTGTAAATGTGATTGCTTTCCTGAGGTTTCTTTTTTCAGATTGTTTGCTGTTGGTGTGTATAAATGCTACCGATTTTTGTATGTTGACTTGTGTCCTGCAGCTTTATTGGATTCCTTTACCAGTTCTAACGGTTTTTTGGTGGAGGCTTTAGGTTTTCCTAAATATAAGATCATATCATTTGCAAACAAGGCTAATTTGACTTCTTCCCTTTGAATTTAGATGCCCTTTATTTCTTTTTGGCCTGAGTGCTCTGGCCAGAATTTCCAGTATTATGTTGAATAAAAGTGGTGAAAATGGGTGTCCTTGTCTTGTTCCAGATCTTAAAGGAAAGGCTTTCAATTTTTTCCTGTTCAGTATCTTGTTCGCTGTGAGTTTGTCATCCATCCCACATGGCCCCTCCCACATCCCCCATGGCCTTTTTGATTTTGTGGTATGTTCCTTCCATACCCAGTTTTTGGTGGGTTTTTATCACAAAGGGATGTTGAATTTTATCGAATGCTTTTTCAGCATCTATTGAAATGATCATTTGATTTTTGTTCTTGATTCTCTCAGTGT